GCGCCCGCGCATCCCACGGACAAGCGACGGGGGAGGGCACCGCGCCAATGATTGCCAAAGCAGCGAGAGTGTCTACGAGTTCATTCACGGAATCTCTTTCGTGACACCCGACGCGCGAGAAAACGACTCCTGCGTTCTGCCTGAGAAAAAGGACAACGGAGCGCATTGCACTGGCATGTCCTTTTAGGCTGGGCGCATTAGAGCCCCATCCTGTCGCCTGCGCAACCAAAATGTTGTCTATGCAAAACTGCCAGGGCGATGCGTTCGTTTGGCACGTCCAAGATAATGCGCAGACGAAAGCGACCACCTCTGACCATAGGTTGCGAAGGGGGAACAGGTGTACCACAATCTAACGCATTTAATTCGACTGCCAGGAATCCTCCAAGGAACCGCTTCCCATCCTCGGTTCCAGCTACCACAGCAATTGCCCGGGCGATGGGGGGGCGGTATGGATGGAAACCTAGCACCCGCTAAACGAGCGCATCCAAGGAGGGAGGGGACTACGATGCGGAACGAGGACGGGAAGGGCATCCAGTCTTGATCGATTTCGCGTGCGATACAAAGGCTGCCCGCTCTCGCCCAGGGCATCGATATCCTGATCAGCGGAAGTGGGCGGTGACGCTACCCTTGCGGGTCTTCTCTGGCAGTCTGCTCATGCCCTGAAGCTTCGTGGGCCTCCTCTCCCGCGCGCTCTCCGCGCGGCGACCGCGGCCGTTCTCGGAGAGCCCTCGCCCCGCGTGGCTGGGCGGCCCCTCGGCGCCAACTGCGCAGGCCGCGGGGCAGCTGAAATTGGAGGGGGGGGGGGGGGGGGCTGGGCAAGATGGGCGCCAGACACTGGGGCGGCCGTCTCCGTCCGCAGGGAGAAGCCGCATGCTGCGGCGCGTTCCCCGCTGCCGGGGCGGGCCCAGTCTGTGGGGCCATGGCCAACTCAAGAGCTTGGCGTCGCGCATTAACTCCTGCAATTTGTTGCGAAAGATCCGAAAAATGTGCATCTACATTGGGCTGGCACGCAGGCGGTGCATTGCTCACCGCCATGAGCTGCTGCTGAATCATTGCGATACCTGGGGCTTGGGAGGTGCTGACGTGTGTCTGCTGGGGAGCTGCCTGCTGGGCCTCTCGGCGGCGGTGTCTCCCCGCGTGGCCCCGCGCGCGCGCGGCGGGCAACTCCTTCTCCGGGGTCCCCCAGGCAAGGGCTCCGACGCAGGCTCCCCAGACTCTGCCCCATACATGGTGATCTCCGGCCTGCCCTCGTCGATCTCTAAGAGCGCACGTTCGCGGCGATGAACCCGCTCATTCTGGTGTATCGCTCTTTTGCTGCAGCTGGTCCAACTCACCCTCTCTCTCGTCCTCTGCGCTCTCGCTGCTGTCGTCTATCTTTCTGATAGACGCGGCGAGCGCCTCCTATTCCTGTCGTCCCTTGGCAATGCATTGCTTTCTCTCCGTGGCAGTTGCCGCGGGAGGAAGGCCCCCTGGGCATTTGAAATGTTGCCGCGCAGTTTTGGGGAGTGCGGGGAGAATGCCCAAACGCTGGCGGTCCTCCTCTTCCGCGTCTTCTGCGGAAGACACGTCAGGGCTGGCTTGTCGCCTCGGGCCTCTTTGGCGGCGCGTTGCTCCTTCGTGCTGCTCGTCTTGCTGCGGATGAGTCTGACGCACCCATGTGTCGCGCACCAGGCCGCCAGCCGAACCATTGCCTCCGCCATCCTCGCCTCCATGACTTCGCTGCCTGCCGCGTGCTCCCGAATGCTCCTGATGCACAGCAGAGCAAGAGCGACACGCAGACCTTGTTAGGAAATTGAAAGGGCAGCATCCCGAACAGTCCCACGCACTCATGGGCTGAGCATAATGATGCTGAGAAAGTCGTGTCTGCGTGGCGTCCAAACGGGGACAACGATTCCAGTCCGAACACCGATCGCTGGCTGCTGCAAGACGCAGCAGCAGCCTGTCGTCAGCCCATCAATAGCGAGTTCTTCGATGGGCGGCTGCCTCTCTGGGAAGTTCCGCCGCCGCGGGGGCATACTATCGCGGCTTGCCGAGAGAGGCTGGCGCGTTAGGCCCCAGGTCTCGGGGACACGAAAGACTGAGGGCGCATGAGCGAGAAGTCACCGCAATGAATACGCACCGCCAGGAAATGTCTTCGACGGCCCGAACTTTGGGGGAGAAAGGAGGAGGGAGGGGGGGGAGGGGGGGGATGATCAGGTTGATGAGGAAGAGGAGGAGGAGGAGGAGGAGGAGGAGGAGGAGGAAGACGTACAGAAATTCAAGACGCCTCTTGGATGTTTCTCGGAGTCTTTTCGGATGTCTCTCGAGAGCTTATTGTCGGCCTGTCGGGGCGTCTTGGGGGGGCCCTTGGCGGCCCCAGGGCCTCTTGAAGCGTTTTGGGTGCTGTGGCGCCTTGCAGGTCTCTCGGGAGCCTCTTGGGGACATCATAGGGGGCATCTTGGGGGCCTGTTGGGGCGTCCTGGGCGCCTCGTGGGGCCCCTCCTGGGGCACTCTTGGGAGCCTCGGGGGCCATCTTGGAGGTGATCGATCAAAGAGGGAAGGCTCCTCAATTCGGGCCCCCCCCTCCCCCCCACGAGGCCGAAATGATGTTGGCTTCCTTGCCGAGGACATCTGGGACACTCCAACGCGTCGATACGGGAGGGGGTATGGGGGAGGGGCAAACACCGCCTCGAAGCCGAAGGGGGAAGATGGAAGAGGAAACTCCCTGAACCACTCAAGACGAGAGGGCTTGTGGGATTTAGAGCTTTGGCTTGCACACCCTGCATACCGCGGCCGCCAGACCCCGACGGTTTTGGTGACCCTAGGTATCCCGCCTCGCGTCTACGACGAGTGTTGGCTGCATGCCGAGGCCGCCTTGGCCCCAAGAGGCCCGGTGTTAGCTGGGGATCCCGCCTTGCGTTCTCGGGTAGGTATCGCTCGAAGCAGGACAGTGTCAGGTGGAGTGTTTCTCCATTTCGGCCCTGGGCCGAAATCGATGGAAGGGTGAGGATTGGCGTGAAGGACTCCCTTCTTTCCCCCCTCCCTCCCTCTTCCAGCAGGCTTGTCACCATGTTTTGGGTTGCGCGCTGTTGGGCGCATCGGCGTTTGTGGCGTTGGCTGCGGCTGCCATGGCGCCGAGCGCTGCTTTGCAGGACGGCATCTTCAGAGGCCTCATTGGCCACAGTTTCTGGCGTCCGTTTTCCTGCCCTGCGTGTCAAGTGCCTCCTTAGTTTGGCTGGGTGCTGCCAGAGCGCCTCTCTCGCCCCGTCCCCTCTCTCCCTCCGTCCGTCGGCCGGAACTTGCCTCGGAGGGGTGCCAGAGCAACTATCTTCAACACTGGACCTGACCAGATCTGTCAGCCTTGGAGTCCTGCAGCGGTCTCTGTCAAAACAAAACCTCCCTCCCTCCGACCTCCCTACTATTGTACGCAGCTCCCTTCTTGTGTTCCGATTGCGCATGACGCGATGGGGTCCTCTTCGGAGTTCCAGGTCCGCTATGGCACGCGTCGGCGGAAAGAGAGAAGCACCACAATCGGAATGGACGGGTGAGAGGGGTAGGATGTCAGATACGCTAGGGGCGTTCGTTAAGGAATGTGCCCAGGAGGCTTCAGACACATCATAATTCCTTATTGGATGAGGGCGGCGCTGATATCCATGGCCAAGCCTCAATCGGTATTGCACCGTCTTCCAGACCCTGTGTTCCTCATCCCAGGATTACATCTCCAATGCCCCCACCGTATGGCGCGAGGGCGCTTGGCTCGCCTCCCCCCTCCTCTTCCCTCCTCCCTCCTTCAAAGTTTCTCTCTCACGGGGTAGCGGCCCGGGCAACACACAGGCGCCACGTGGTGCTCACGTGATCAGGCGACCATCCCTTGGTCATCCCTCCCCCTCCTCCAGAAGTTGCCCAGGCGTTGCCCACGAGCCTAAGAAGCGTTGCCTGGGAGCCGCCAAGGTCTCTCCTCATCTTCCCTCCTCTTGCCTTTCCCCCCCCCCCCTCCTCCCTCCTCCCTCTCATCCCTCCCCGTCGGAGCACACTCATGGTCATGCCTCTCGTCGCACACACACTCATCCCTCCTCTCCCTCATGCCCTCATCCCTCCTCGTCCTTTTCTCCGTCTCACCCTCGCTGATAGCACGGTCGAGTCCCTCAGACGTGTAACTATATGTATTCTCTTCCAGTCTATCGCATGCTGCGTGCAAACATCACTCGGGGTATTCGCACTCAGAACACACTTTGTTTGGTCGGCGGGTCGAGAGCGGGCCTCTTCCGGTTAAGAGCTAAGCGGGGCGCGCGAAGCACTAATTGGGGAGACAGGGCGCGGGCGGGCGGGGCCTCAGGCGGCCGGAGGGTGCGGAAAACAGGCGGTGCCGAAGAGCTTGCACAGGAAAAGGTACGCCTTGGACAGGAGCCGTGGGCGAAGTCCCGGGGGGAGAGTGAATTGGTGTTGCCGTCAACGGACACACTCAGAACACACACAGACACACACAGACACACACACACACACAAACAAACCACGACGATTCTGAATCTGGTCGCGCTGCCTGGCCGACGGTGATAGTGGTAGTCACCCCAGGTTTTTCCTCTGAGATGGTGGGCCTCGTCCTCGTCCTCCGTTTCGCCCCATTCTCTTCCCCCGCTTCCGCCCCACATGCGCACGGATTAGGCGTTGCATGGTCTTTCCGCATTGGTGTGTCAAGGTTCCAGCCTCGCCAGTCCAGGAATTTCACACGCGCCTGCGTGGCAGCACTGCGCCGGCTGCGACAGTTTTCTTGAACAGATTGCAAGGTTTTTTCCAACGCCTGGTGAGGGAGCTCAGGACTCCACAACCGATGACCCGTCGTGCCCCTCTCCCCACAGTGAACAGTGTGAAGCTGTCTAGGGCCTCCTGAAGCAATAGTGTTTTTTTTTGCACATGCCTCGCACAGAAGCAAAAAGTTTCGCCGCGACCCCCGCCTTCTCGCACCCTCTGGAATTCCCCCTCGGCCCTGCCCTCGCTGCACTTACGCCTGCTAATGCAGAGAGGACAGAACGGCCGGTGGCGGGAACCTGGGAAGCTTCACCGACGCGGTGGTGACCCTCGTTCAGGGAGGCGAAGGACGAGGATCGCTGCGGACTGAGAGGGTGATAATCAACTAAGAAGCGGAGAGGGAGAGAAAGAGAGAGAGAGAGAGAGCGAGAGATAGGGAGAGGGACGTCGTTTAGCCCGTTTCCTCGATGTGCACTCCCTCCATGTTTTCTAACCCTTCCTTCACGCCTCCCCCCTTTTTTCACATTCCTTCCTTTTTTCCTCCTCATTCAACCTCCTTCCATCGTTTATTCTTCGCTTTTTTTTGTTCTCTCTCTCTCTCTCTCTCTATCTCTCCCTCCCTGACCCCTCTTCAACAGTGCGGCCAAATTTGGCCCAGCAACCAGGCTTGCAAATAATTGGAGACAATGTGGTAATTTACGGTCAAGACGGAAAGCACACAAGATGAAGAGAGCGGAGGCCGAGAAAACGATACGAAAGGAACACCACATTAATACGTTTTCATGTTTTGGTTCATGTGTTGTTATTGATAGTTCTATCAACTATGTATGTATGTAAAGACGTAAATTAACATCAACAAACATGCGAAGGCACTTGTCGACAATTGGAATTGGGCTCTACGTACCAAAGATATCGAATTCAGATCGTCGGCGCAAAAAAAAAACATATGTTGTTTTCTAAAAGAACTAGGTTTACTAAACAATAGTCGGTAAACATATCCGTAAGGGCTTGGCCCCTTGCCGCGGGCCCCCTCTCTCAGAGAATGGGCCATGGAAGAGCGAAGTCATGAGGCTTTGGCTTCACCGCGAAGCAGCGTCGGAACTTCATTGCGAAGACGCTGGGTAATTGGCAAGACGAATGGAGATTGCGAGTCTACTGTTATACTCGCTGTTGTATTTTCTCATTTGCTCCCGTATACTGCACTGTGCCCAAATCTTCTCCCCGAATTTGAAAATGTTGAAAGTCTCTTGTGTCCTGACCGCGCGGAAGTGCGTGAGGGGTGCCCCAGATATTGAAACATGTGGCATATCCTCTGTGTTCTTGGACCCTAACCCTGTCGATCCGCGTGAGGGGTGCCACCGAATTTGAGAAATGTTGAGAATCCCTTGTGTTTTCGAACCCTGACCCCGCCGATCTGCGTGAGGGGTGCCAGCAAATTTCAGAAATGTTGCAAATCCCATGTGTTTTTGGACCCTGACACCGCCGATCTGCGTGAGGGGTGTCAGCGAATTCAGAAATGTGGCAAATACCATGTGTTTCTAGACCCTGACCCCACCGATCTGCGTGATGGGGTGCCAGCGAATTTGATAAATGTGGCAAATCCCATGTGCTTTTAGACCCTGACCCCACCGACCTGCGTGAGGGGTGCCAGCGAATTTCCGAAATTTAGTACATCTCATATGTTTTTGGACCCTGACCCTGCCGATCTGCGTGAGGGGTGCCACCGAATGTCACAAATGTGGCAAATCCCATGTGTTTTTGGACCCTAACCCTGCCGATCTGCGTGAGGGGTGCCACCGAATGTTAGAAATGCTGCAAATCCAAAATATTTTTGGACCCTGACCCCGCCGATCTACATGAGGGGTGCGAGCAAATTTCAAAAATGTGGCACATCCTTGCTGTTTTCGCACCCTGGCCCCGCCGATCTGCTTGAGGGGTGCCAGCAAATTTCAGAAATGTGGCGAATCCAATGTGTTTTTGGACCCTGACCCCGCCGATCTGCGTGAGGGGTGTCAGCGAAGTTTACAAATGTGGCAAATCCCATGTGTTTTTTGGACCCTGACCCCGCCGATCTGCGTGAGGGGTACCAGCGAATTTCCGAAATGTGGCAAATCCCATGTGTTTTTTGCACCCTGACCCCGCCGATCTGCGTGAGAGATGTTCATTTTTACCCACCCCAGCAATTCAGACAACACGCTCAGGGCGTGCTAAACCTGCCCGTTTGGGCCTCCCCCCCCTCGCGCGGTCCATCAACAAGGAACAGTAAGCAGCAAGAAGCAGAACTGTAACAGTGGAAACTGGAAGCTGCAACTGGCACAGGAAACTGCGAACCTTCGGCCTACAGCCTGGTGGCCCCACAAGGGGACCGGCGGATATTCCATAACAAAAACTGACAAGACGCCTCGAAACAACATGTTGGTTTATGGCCAAATATCCAAATTGGTAACCATGCATGCACACCACATTGGCCGCGCGTGGCCAAACCAGACTCGATTGTTGTATTGATTTCTGTTGATGTAATAATGTTCCGAACAGCTACTCGGAGAGCTTGAGAGGTTTTAAGTTCCCCCTGTTTCCCCTGCCTCGCTTGCATCGGCAGTGGGTGGTCAGGTTTCCGAGCTCTGATCGCTTGTTTTCCAGGCGGGGCTTCGGCCGCTACTCCGAACCTGGGGGAAGGGGGGGCTCCCTAAGATGGGTTTTGGCTCCGAAGCACCAGGGGGGGTCCCCACCGGAGAACAAGCGGGTACTTCCCCCTTCCCCGGGGGAGGGGGCAAGAAGGGGCGGGATGAGGGCCCCCCCGCTCCCTTCCCGCTAGAATTTTGAGGGCCGACGACGACGTTGACGTTGACGACGACGACGACGACGACGACAGCGACGACGACGACAGCAGCGACGACGACGACGGCCACGGCGATGACGACGACGACGACGACCTTGGCTAGGAGCAGAGCTGGCGCTGCATGCCAGTGATGCATTCGGCGCACTACTATTGCCCTCAGACTTCGGCGCTACTCGACTGCATCTGCCGCAGCAAACCTCATTTGATGTCCCGCCCGCCCAACTTGAACGCCCCATCCCTGATTACAGGTTTCATTTAACGTCCCGCCCGCCCGTCCTGTTTGCTTCGCAGTCGTGGCAAATTTGCCAACAACTTTCTCGAAACAGAGAGTGAAGGCTGCATGTATTGTCCCTCCCGCCCGCTGTAGACGCCACATCATTGGATCAATGGTTCCTTTATTGTCCCGCCCGCCTGACCAGCGTCTTCGGTGGTTGTGGTCTATTCCTTTTTTTCTTCCGTTTTACACAGTGAAGGTTGTATCTGATGTCCCGCACGCCTAATTCGGACGCCCACAATTGACTACAGGTTTCATTGAATGTCCCGCCCGCCCGACTGGCGTGTCTGGAGGATGTGATTTTTGTTTCTTGCGACCTTGGCCCAACAGTTGCATGTCATGCCCCGCCCGCCCAATATGGACGCCCCATCACTGAATGAATGGTTCCTATTCATGTGTTGCCCGCCCATCTGGCGTCTTCGGCGCTTATGATCGATTCCCCCTTTATTTTTCCACTTCGCACAGCGAAGGTTGTAGATGATCGTCCCGCCTGCCCAACTTGGACGCCCCATCATTGACCACAGGTTTGATTTAATGTCCTGCCCGCCAGTCTTACGTTTTTGGCGGTCGTGATACATTGTCCACTTACGTGTTTTTCAAAGGCAGCGTGAAGATTGCATGTAATGTCTTGCCAACCCCATATTGGCGCCTCAACACTTGATGAATGGTTTCTTAACTGTGTCGCCCGCCTGACCGGCGTTCTCGGCGGTTGCGATCGATGCCCACTGCAGATTTTGTTTCACTTGGTGAAGGTTGTATATAATGCCCCGCCAGACCAATTTGGAGGCCCCATCATTGACGACAGGTTTCATTTAAATGTCCCGCCTGCCGTCCTTCGTTTTTTGGTCGTCGCAATACAAGTTCCAATAACTGTCTCGCAGCACAGAGTGGAGGTTGCATTTACTGTTCCGCCCGCCCGATGTAGACGCCTCATCACTGACTGAATTCATGGTCCCTTGAATGTGTGTTTGCGCCCGATGGGCGTCTTCGTCGGTTGTGATCGGTTTTTTCTAGCTCACACAATGAAGGTTGTATATGATGTCCCGCCCGCCCAATTTGGATACCCGCCCCATCATTGACGACAGGTTTCATTGAATGTCCCGCCCGCCTGACCAACGTGTTTGAAGGTTGTGATTAATATCTCTGCGACCTTCTCCCAACGCATATTAAATATTACATGTCATGTCCCTCCTGACCGACCAGTCCATCGGGCTCGTCGTTGTCGTTGTCTTCGTTTTCGTTGCCGTCGTCGTTGTCGCCGCCGCCGCCGTCGCCACCGCCGTCGTCGTCGTCGTCGTCGTCGTCGCCGTCGCCGCCGTCGTCGCCGTCGTCATCGTCGTCGTCGCCGTCGCTCCCGATGGGGGTTGGGGCCCGCCCGCGGGGGGCGGCAGGGGCCGTCCTCACTCGGCCCCGTGCCTCCCCCCCAGGGACGGGGTGGCAGGGGTGCCCTCCCCCCTGGGGATCCCGACGAGGGGGGGGGGGGGGGCATTTTTGGATTCCTTTTTCCCCTCCCCCTGCTTCTTGGGAGGGTGGGGGGGCGATTTTTTCAAGCCAAACGTCCATGAAGCGCGCTCCCCCCCAGGAAGTAAGTTCCAGCTGGGTTCAGAAGGCCCCCCGAGTAATCCCAGACGGGGTGAACATCTCAACCCTGCGGCGCGGAGTGCCCCAGGGGCGCTGGCCCGGGAGGCGCCAGGGTGTTGAGCTCGCCCCGGACTACTCGGCGGGGGCCTGTTGAGGCCAGCTGGGGCTACTCGGGGGGCCTGTTGAATCCAGCCGGGACTACCTGGTGAGGCTGCCTGCGTGAAGCCCGAGGCCTTCTTACTACCCCCCCCCCCGCCCGCGAGGAGAGGGCGGGACACTCTGCAACAGAAAGGCTGCGCCAGCGTCCTGGTCTGGCGGGGAATTCCCACTGGCGGGGCCCATGGGCCTCCGCAGAGGCGTTGGGGAGAGCCCTCTCGAGGCGCCCTCGGGGGGCGCGGGTGGGAGACCCTTCCCGAAGAGCTCTGGAAATTTTAGCGGCATTGCAGCCCGCCGAAACTTGCCACTTTAGGGCCTCGTCCGTGCATTGCAGCGTTGCTCGCATTGGGAAGGGTTGGATTTGCTGGGTTGCTGGCCAAATTACGGGCTAGCGAATTCCCCGTTGGGAGGGCGCTGAAGGCTTCTCTGGGCCCCGGAGGCCCCCTTATGACTTCTGGAGACATGCGAGAAAACCTCCGAGCCCAGACATGCTCGCGTCGTGAAAACATGAGGACGCAGAACTTGTTCATCGTTTTCGGCCTCCAGGACTACAGCAGAAACGACTCAGGATGAAAAGACAGTCCCGGGGAAAGGTCGGGACTTCGGGGGCCTTGCATTGAAACAAATCAAGATCGGATTACTGAATCCAAGAGGACTTCCGAGAGAACCCAGATGGGAGCCCCTGAGTTGTTCCGAAGAATTTGTTTTTAACCCATACTGGGCGTCCTCTCGCCCGGTCTCTGGCCCCAGGGGCCCTCTCAGACCAATCCGGCCCGAGAGAGAGCCGCGGAAGGTTTGCGTCTGGCTCTCGTCGTGACTTTTCTTTCACGAGGTTGCATGGGAAGGCTTCGGGGTGCGCGCAGACAGCTAGCCTCAACGGGCCCGCCGAGCAGCCAGGGGCGGTCTCAACCCCAACCCTGAGACGCGGAGCGCGACAGGGGCGCCGCCAGAGGCGGCGCCAGGGTGTAAGCACAGCCCCAGACTACTCGGGGGGCCTGTTGAGGCCAGCCGGGACTAGCGACGTCGTGTCTCAAGACGAGCCTCTGCGGGAGGGCCCGGGGGGAGCGCAGGGAGCGACCTCGTCGGCTGCCTCGTCTGGCTCGTGCTGACAGTGCTCGGCATCGTGCGCTGGGCCACCAGTTTCGAGTGCGCGCTCTACGCACTGCTGGACGAGGTGAAGATGGATGCGGACACCGTGGGGCGAGGATCTAGACGGGGTCGGAGGATCGCGCCGCATCGTCGCATCGCCGAAGCATCGGCGATGCGGCTCGGTGTGGGGCTCGGTTTCCTCCACGCCGACGGCACCGATGCATCGCCGATGCGTCGACGATGCATCGGCGATGCGGCGCGATCCTCCGACCCCGTCTACTGCTTCTTCTAGGAGGCCTCTAGAGGAGGGGGAGGACGGTGAGGAGGGGTCCTAGGAGACCAGCGTGCGTAAACAGTAAGCCTCCCTGGCATCGGGTCGACACTAGACCCCTGCGGTGGCGCTGGAGGCGCCGCGCCTGGCTCGTTCCGCGCGCCAAGGGGGGGGATCTAGCGCTGCTCTACGAAATGAGCTCGGACATCCGAAAGCTTACGTTTATGCCGATGCTTTTTATCCAAAGCAGGGCACAGTGGTGGCACCGTGTATGCAGTAGTGGCACCACCACTCTAGCCGGCCAGAAGCACACGCTGTTTCCTTGCTCTTGATGCGCGCCGCGGCGCCAGCCCTGGGCCGGGCAGTGTGTGCCGCTCGGCGGCGGGGAGGAGAAGCGAGCAGACGACGACGACGACGTCGACGACGACGGCGAGCGCAGGCGGGGCCGGAAACGGCTCGGAGAACGGGCCAGGAGGAATGCCCGGGAGGGGCGCGCCGACCGATTCGGAGCGGCTTCCATCGGGGGCAGAAAATAGCGGCGCAGTGACCACACCGTGTGGTGAGTCAGTGGGGAATCCGGGTGGCCGCTCGGTTGTGGGACATGGGTCGTTCTCCGAAGGTGTCTCGGGCGACAGTGGTCGAAAACCTTGCGAAAAAGGACCGTGTGGTGAGGTCTTTGGAGATGCCGAGGTCGCCGTACGGTCTGTTACCACACCGTTTGGGGATCCCCAACTCCGGGGGGGAGGGAGGACGGGGGAGGGAGGGGGAGGGGAGAGGAGGGGAGTGTCTAGGGGAATCATGAGTGACTCCGAACCCAGGCCTATGACGGCTCAGTATTCTCGAGTCCTGGGCCCTCGGTACCTTCAACTGATCAGGACTGGCTTGTCCTCCGGAGTTGCTTTTTGATGGCTTAGATCTCGGATTAGTTCAAGCATTGGCAGGTATTGGCAGGATTGCACCCTTGCGTCGGAAGACCGTTAACAGCTTTAAACTTGGACCAGGGAGAGGGGCACGGGGACTTTTAGAGTGACCACAGTATATAGTGCATGTAGCATGGCACAGTAGATACTAGAGTTGTATGTATGTTTCTGTGCTCTGGAATGGTACAGTTCAGTGCCGCCTCTGTCTTAGTGTATGGGAGCACGTGACAAAGAAGTCCGGTGTAGCACGACGTAGAGTATTTGTCCAGTTGCTTCTGGCGATTCCGCCGCCGTGCGCCTGCTGGGGGCCTCGGGGCAGAAGGCTCGAATTCTTGGTTCGTGTTCCCACTCTGGAGCCTTTCTTGGGGCCGTCTTTGGGCCCTCTTGGGCAATATTGGGCACCTCTTGGGCCGTCTCGGAGCCCTCTTCGGCAGAATTGGAGCTTTCTTGGGGGCCTCTTGAGCCGCTTTGGGGGCCTCTGAGGCAGTCTTCGAGCGTCGGGAGCTCGAAAAGGCGAAAACCCAAAAAGCAGTGAAACAGCTAAGGCCATTCAATGGGTTTTGTCTCTCGGGGCCTTCTTGGGAGGAGCCTCTGGAGGTCTCTTTCGGCCCCCTTGTAGCCTCCTGAGCCTTTTGGGGGCGGAAGTCTCGAATTGTCGGCTCGTGTTCACCCTCTTGTGCCTTTCTTGGGGCCGCCGTGGGGACCTCTTCGGCATTCTTGGGCGCCTCTGGGGCGGTCTTGGAGCCCTCTTGGACGATCTTGGGCGCCTCTTGGGCCGTCTTGGGTCAGTCCTGATTGCCTCTCGGGTCGTCTTGGGACGTTGACGCGCAGTGTAAACGTAAGAGCCATCAATGTTTGTTGCCGCTCGAGGCCCTCTTGGGACGGCTCTTGAGTCTCTTCTTGGTGAGTCTCTTCTTGGGACGCCTCGACGGCCTCGTGGGCCGTCTTGAAGCCATCTAGGGCCGTCGTGAGGCCAAAGTGGTTCGTCTTGGAGCGAAATTCCGCCGTCTCGGAGGCACGTGGGCCTCTGGGGCGCGAATCTGATATATTATGCGATGGATTGTGCGACCCGGGGGGGAGGAAGGATCGGACAACAGGTGTCACGCGTGCCGTGGTTCTTGCACATCAAGGAGAGGGAGGAGTCGGAGGAGGCGATGGAGGAGGAGGAAGATGAGCAGCAGGAGGAGGAGGAGGAGGAGGAGGAGGTGTCGGGGGAGGGGACATGAAGGATGAGAAAGAGGAGACGGAGGAGGAAGAGGGGGAGGATAATGAGGGGCTAAAAGCGGAGGATGCGAATGGTGACAGAAAAATGAGGACACGGGAGGATGAAGACGAGGAGAGAGAGAGAATGGGGGAGGGAGGACGAGGAGGGAGGAGGGCGAGAAGGGGAGCGCAGGGAGCAAGAAACTGGGTCAGTAGACGAGGAGGGGAAATATGGGCAGGGAGCAGCATTCACAGATGCGAACATGCCGAACAGGGGTCTGCAGGGCGGGGCGGGGGAGCGCGCTGGCTGGCGGGCGAGGAGGAGCTGGGCTGGCCGTTGGGGGGGGGAAGGGGCGCGGCGCCTGTGCTGTACCGAAATGGAAAGGTCGAGTCGCAAGCTGCGCGCTGGCTGGCGGGCGGGGAGGAGCTGGGCGGGCTGTGGGCTCAGGTAAGGGCGCGGCGCCACTGCTGTGCCGAAATACAGCGGTCGGGGCGGAGGGGCGCGCTGGCTGGCGGGCGGGGAGGAGCTGGGCGGGCTGTGGGCTCAGGTAAGGGCGCGGCGCCACTGCTGTGCCGAAATACAGCGGTCGGGGCGGAGGGGCGCGCTGGCTGGTGGGCAAGGAGGAGGAGGGTTGGCCGTGGGGGCGCAAGGGAGAGCGAAGTGCTGGTGCCGTGACGAAATACGAAATAGAAGGGTCGGGCGGACGGGGCGCGCTGGCAAGTGGGCGCGGAAGGAGCTGGGCTGGCCTCTGGGGTGGCAAGTGGAGTGGTGCTCGTGCCGTGCTGACATGTTAACGTTGGGGCGCGGGCTGGCGAGGAGGACCTGGGTCGGGGTGGAGGGGGCGTGCTTGCTCGTGGGGGAGGAGGGGGGGAGGCTTGGCTGGTTGTGGGAGGGGGGAGGGCGCGGTGTCGGTGCAGTGGCGAAAGCGGGGCGGAGGGGGCACGGTGGCTGGTGGTAAAGTGGAGGAGGTGGGCTGGCCGCGGAGGGGCGGAGGGAGGTGGGCGCGGCGCCAATGGTGCGCCGGAAAAACAGGGTCGCGGCTGAGGGGGCGCGCTGGCGGGGGAGGAAAAAGTGAACTGGCCGTGGGGGGGGGGCCGGGCGCAGTGCCGGTGCCGTGCCGAAATAAAAGGTTCGGGGCGGAAGGAGCGCGCCTGCTGGTGGGGCAGAGGAGGTGGGCTGGTTGCATAGATCGGGAGGTGGGCGGGCGCGACGTCAGTGCCGTGCCAGGGCGTGTTGGCGGGCGGGGGATGGTGGGGCGGGCTGGCTGCTGCGGAGAGGGACGGAGGGGGGACCGGTGCCGTGCCGAATAAAAGTGGTCGGGGCGGATAAGGCGCGCTGGCGGTTGCGGAGGAGGGCAGCGGGGGGACCGGTACCATGCCGAAATAAAAGGGTCAGGGCGGAGGGGGCGCGTTGACTGGTGGGGGACGAGGAGGACGGGCGAGGCGCCAGTGCTGTGCCGAAGTAAAACGGCCTGGGCGAAGAGGGCGCGCTGGCAGGTGGGAGAGGGGAAGGTGGGCTGGCTGCGGAGGGGGGAATGGGGCGGGCGCGGCGCCTGTGCCGTTCCGGAATAAAAGGGTCGGGGCGGAGGCGGCGGCGCGCTGGCTGACGAGGGAAGGAGCGGTGAGCTACCTGTGGAGGGGGACCGAGGGCGGACTGGCGCCGTGCAGAAAAACAGGGGTCAGGGCAGAGGGGTCACGCTGGCGGCTGCGGAAAAGGGTGCAGGAGCGACTGGTGCCGTGCCGAAGGAAAGAGGTCGGACATCTAGACACATTGTGCAAGATAATTACAGAAACCCTAGCCCGTTTCGTGCTTCCACCAAGAAGTCTTAGGCGGGAGCGCCATTGCGAGTTCGTGCTGAAGAAATGTAGACTTTTATTTTCGAGGAAATCCTGGGCGGGAGCGCCATTTCGATATCGGACTAGAAGGGTGTCGTTTTTTTTGTGTTCAGGGAGCCTGGGCGGGAGCGCCATTTCGAAATTGAACCAGCAACGCTTCGAATTCTAGCGCCATTTCGAAATCGAACCCGAAAGTTTCGAAATCGTTCGAAGTTGATTTTTGGAGGAAGTCTCTAGCGAAACCGTCGCTTCGAAATAGCCACACCGTTTGGCAGTTAAAAACTTCAATTTCTGACAAGAGATATCGAAACTGTACGTTGTTGAACGAGTTTGCATCGCACAGTTCCGTTTCATACCTGCTCTATAGTCTTTCTGGCTCAATGGACTTGGCCCTGCGAGGATTGCAGGCTATCGCTCCTTGGGCCCCTCTTCTTTCAGTCGCCCGCTGCCCCGACTGCCATTGCATGGCCGATTGCCAGGTCAGCAGCGATATCGTGGGCCTCCTGGGTCGACAGCTGGAGCGCTGCGGACCAGAGCAGCTCACCTGTCCTGTGTGCCCAAGCTGTCCGCCGCTGCAGTGCCCCGAGCCGCCGCTCGCGTGGGGCATCTTCGTCGTAGGGCTGTTCGCGGGTGTGCTCTCAGCAGCGACAGCAGGCGCCGTGTGGAAGAGGACCGCACGCCCGTTGAGGTCAGGATTGGATGGCGGCCCGCAGCTTAGCAGAGCGCACGCGGCACTGCCTGCAGAGCCGTCAAGTGGGGTCGAGGGCCCTCGTTTACTACGAGCTGCGCGATGACTTCTGGCATGAAAAGATCATGCTGGCACGTGTTCAGGACTTCGGCTTCGGGGTGCTCACCGCGCCTTGGGACATC